TTTTTAAAGTCAGTTATTTGGTTGGGCCAAAAATATCTTCTGTATAATATAGGCTATAATACAAGTATTAAGTATAAATACAAGTATTACCAAATGCTTAAAATAAATGATAAGAAAATCCAGTATATGCTATGGTAGGTGTGGTAAAAGTGACTACGAGCTACTGTAAGCAAGGCCTTGGACAAGATGATAAAAATTAACTAAGGTATTTTTTTCTACTGAATTCCTTATGATGGACGGCCAAAAAAGAGGTGAAGAGAAAGTAGCCAAGAGATGGGAATGGCCAGGGCCGATGAAGAATACACACAGGATAAGAATAAAAGACAGTTTCAAAATATAAGTTTAAGTTTTTAACATTTACTAAATTTATAAATTGTTTCATTTTCCAGCTGTCTCCTTCAAGATAAAATGTACACATTTAATAGCTATTTACATTACAAGTGTAGTAAGAGCGTTTTTAGAACGAAGTGATGTAAACTTGCTCTTGCGTAACGTGTAACGTACAAGATTTTACCTGACCCGACAATATGCAGGAGGTTACGAGCAATATGCTTCGTTATCAATTTCACTCATCTTCTAACAGTAACGTTAATTTACAAACAAAAGCTAGGTTAGGAAAATTCTTCAAAGCATAACAATAAAATTCAAACACACAGCTGATTTCTAGCGTTGAACGTCGTTGGCTCCATAGAGGTATATTTTTTAAGTTATCCACTCAATGTTATTTATATGGGTTTTATTACATCACCGAGTGAGTTTTTTTCAACTTTACATCACTCGAGAAGTAAGGAAGTTGTATACATCACGCTTGGGATAGGGAAGTTTAACATGGCGGGTTAGGTAAATTACATTGCAGGACATCTATTATGTGTAACTGAGTTCAATTTTAAAACCAAACCACAAACATAAGTCAACAAAACCATGCATTTATTGATTGCTTGAGAATAAAAATTATTTGTATTGTTAAAAATTACCAACTAGAGTAATAATAGATTCTTTAATGTACAAAAGTAAAATTTCAATACTTACACTCTTTGTCATTTTCCCAGCTTTCATAGTTCATCTTGGTGTTTTCAATCCGTGCTTGTTTCCTCTTCAGGAAAGCCTCGTGCCTACTGGCATTCAAATCTCTCATACCTGCTGCAACTTTGTAACCTCCTTCATTTTCAGTCATTCCTCTGTAGTTTCCAGATTGCCCATAGCTTTCAGTTGATGAAAACCTTTTCGTTCCTTCATAACTTTCAGCTGCTCCAAATCTTTCAGATCCTCCAACATTTTCAGATCCCCCAAAATTTTCAGATCCAAATCTTTCAGATCCTCCATAGCTTTCTGTCTTTTGATAATTTATGGAATCTTCAAATCCTTCTTCATAAGGGTCTTCTACAAAATCACTCATTTTGTCTTAAATATATACATACAGAATTCTTTGAGACAGAATATATGTGTTATCTATATAAAGTTAATGCCTTATTGATAAAGAATTACTTTATCATATAATTAAGATAAGAAAAGAGTTATGAGAAAAATTAGATTAAAATTTACATAAGTCAATAGAGTTTAGGACATGACAAGTTGATAAAGTTGATATGGATTTAAAATTGAAATTGAAGGTACAAGATGTGCAAAATAGCTTTTTAACATTTCATTTTAGATTTTAGTATTTAACTAACTTGAAGATTTATGAAAAGTTTTTTGAGGATTAATTGCTACTGTATCCATACAAATCTCTAACAAGTAATTTTTAAATTTGATATTCATAATGCATTTTAACCCTTAGACCAACTTAGTATTTTTTGCTGAAAAGACAAACTTCTGATATATTGGCAGTTTAAATAAACGATTATCTAAAAAAAATTAAAAATTAAAAAAATCAACAACAGCATGCAGAAATCAGGGTGTCTAGTTTATTTCCATTCTAAAATTCAAGACTAATTCCAGACTTTTCAAGACTAATTCCAGATTATTCAAGACTAGTTTTTTCAACAATTAGTGGGTGTTGATACTGAAATGTATCGATTCTCGATTCTTGATACCGATACCAATTTTTAAAGCTTAACAAAATTTTCTGAATAATACTACACCAACCCCTGTCTTTGTCATAAAGTAGTATTATGACAATGTGGTGTTTTCAAGTAAAGAAATAATGCAGCAATCAAAAGTTCTAACTAGCAAATTTGGTTTTTTTTATCATGAAATCTTCCACGTACTGTACGTTGAGACATCATCATTGACTGCAGCGGTTACAGAAACGTGATCGACGTCGTCCGCGATCACGGCAAAATCATAAACATTTCCCGCGGCCTTGTAGACATCAATGACATCATCGTCGTCTCCCGAGGTCTCAGAAACGTCATCGTCATCGTCCGCGATCGCGGAAAAATCATAAACCTTTCCCACGGTCGTGTAGACATCATCGTCGTCTCCCGCGGTCACGGAAACGTCATCGTCATCTCACGCGGTTACGGAAACGTCATCGTCATCTCCCGCGGTCACGGAAACGTCATCGTCGTCGTCCGCGATCGCAACAAAATCATGAACATTTCCCGCGGCCGAGCAGATATCATCGTCGTCTCCCGCGGTCACGGAAACGTCATCGTCGTCTCCCGCGGTCACGGAAACGTCATCGTCATCTCCCTCGATCGCGGCAAAATCAATAACATTTCCCGCGGCCGAACAGATATCATCGTCGTCTCCCGCGGTCACGGAAACGTCATCGTCGTCGTCCGCGATCGCGGCAAAAGCATGAACATTTCCCGCGGCTGTTCAGACATCACCGTCATCTCCCGCGGTCACGGAAATGTTATCGTCATCGTCCGCGATCACGGCAAAATCATGGACATTTCCCGCGGCCGTGTAGACATCATCGTCATCTCCCGCGGTCACAGAAACGTCATCGTCATCTCCCACGGTCACGGAAACGTCATCGTCGTCGTCCGCGATCGTGACAAAATCATAAACATTTCCCGTGGCCAAAGCAGATATCATCGTCGTCTCCTGCGGTCACGGAAACGTCATCGTCGTCGTCCGCGATCGCGGCAAAATCATGAACATTTCCCGCGGCTGTTTAGACATCACCGTCATCTCCCGCGGTCACAGAAACGTCATCGTCATCTCCCACGGTCACGGAAACGTCATCGTCGTCGTCCGCGATCGTGACAAAATCATAAACATTTCCCGTGGCCAAAGCAGATATCATCGTCGTCTCCTGCGGTCACGGAAACGTCATCGTCGTCTCCCGCGGTCACGGAAACGTCATCGTCATCTCCCGCGGTCACGGAATGTCATCGTCGTCGTCCGCGATCGTGACAAAATCATGAACATTTCCCACGGCCGAGCAGATATCATCGTCGTCTCCCGCGGTCACGGAAACGTCATCGTCGTCTCCCGCAGTCACGGAAACGCCATCGTCGTCGTCCGCGATCGCGGCAAAATCATGAACATTTCCCGCGGCTGTTTGGACATCACCGTCATCTCCCACGGTCACGGAAACGTTATCGTCGTCGTCCGCGATCACGGCAAAATCATGAACCTTTCCCGCGGCCGTGTAGGCATCATTGTCGTCTCTCGCGGGCACGGAAACGTCATCGTCGTCTCCCGCGGTCACGGAAACGTCATCGTAGTCTCCCGCTGTCACAGAAACGTCATCGTAGTCTCCCGCTGTCACAGAAACGTCATCGTCGTCTCCCGCTATCACAGAAACGTCATCGTCGTCTCCCGCTGTCACAGAAACGTCATCGTCGTCTCTCGTGGTTTCGGAAAACGTCATCGTCGTCGTCCACTATCGCGGAAAAATCGTGAACATTTCCCGAGGCCGTGTAGACATCATCATTGGCTTTTGCGGTTACGTAAACGCAAGACGACGATCGCGGCAAAATCATGAAAATTCCCGACTTTGAAATCAAATTTAAGACTAAATCCCGACTTTTCAAGACCATTTTGAAATTCAATACTAATTCCCGACTTTCCCGATTTTCCCGACTACTAGACACCCTGAGAAATGTTAATGAGGGCTGCTATTCAAAAGTTATAGAATTTTTTTCTATAACATTGCAGAAACTGTTCAAAGTACCCCGGTCCTACGCAGTGCGTCATATACTATAGGGTCTCTAAAGGGTTAAAGAATTATTTATTATTTCTCTCAATAAACGGGTTCTTTAGTGCAAATTAAAAGTTTTTAACATATTAAGCTGTAGTTATTTGTTTCTTTAATGGAAAAAGAGATAATATTAAAACAACACAGCTTTTTAATCACCATTTTATTATCCAAAAATATTTACAATAATCAAATACATAACAATCATTTCTATGAAACTATTTATTTGAATACCTACTTCAGTCTTTAACAGCCACACTATGTATAGTTCATAAATATTAACGTTAACATGAAATATTTACAGTATTTACAAAACTTTAAATTAAAACACTTTAAAAATATCATTGAGAATGAAATAAAAAATACAACAGGACTATACACAAGACTAGTAATGGTTAGTCAATAAATACCAATAAAACAAAATATTTTAAAAGAATATGATTGTGGTTTTAAATCAGAAAACTTGCAGACTGAGAACCATTCTTTTTCAATTTAAGGATTTAACATGTAGCACAAGGATCTAGGTTTTAAGGACTTTGGTTGGGATAACTGGCTTACCTGAATAAAAAAGCGTACCCACTTTCCAAAATGATTAATGAATCCTAAAAAAATCTACGTTTTATACAAATATCAGAATATTTCACTGAGATAGCATTTTACAAACAAGGAAGGTTCTGAAAGACAGGTCTCTTCTCAACTCAAACCCTCCTTGAAACAATTACTGTGAGCGACAATGAAAATATTTTAATTTTTCTTTATAGAATTACTATTAAGTTTTTTTTTCTTGAGCCAAAGTGAACTCTTCTACTCTTTATCTACAATTTTCTATAAAAAACTATTTTTTAACATTTTGTATAAATAAAACTTAAACCAAATTTCTATAAAAATAAAAATACATTATCCTATATTTTGCTTGTAGCTATGGCATATTTTTATCTGTCAAAACTTAACTATTGATTGGGCCACACACACACACTAACACAACTTATTTGTCAATACCATTGTTATAGCTTGACATTAGTCTGAGTGTTAAGTTTTGACATCAGCCCTTCCCAGTCGGGCATTGCGACCATTCGAACATTCAGTGATCCAATGTTTATAATGTGACCGGTGTGATTCTCCTTGTTTAACTGAGTTGACACTACTTCCTGTAACATAACCGCATTTTGTTAAAAAATCTAGTTGGAATCCAGTATATAACCTAACTTTTTTAATAAATTCATCCAGCTATAACTTTTTTAATAAATTCATCCAGCTATATTCTTAACCTAATTTGGCTTAAAAGTGATATTGACCTCTAGCTAAGGTGATAAAAGGCTGATTTTAGCAGGATTTTAAGATAATTTTAATTATATTGTAATGATTGTGTAAAAAAACCCTGTACAGAACTAACTTTTCAACTTTTTCTACTAGGGTTTATCAAAATCAAATTAAAGCAAATTTGATACTAACAATTTTACAAAGCAGTTTTTTTGTTTTTTGTTTTCTTTTGTATCATCTCACTTAAACCTAAACTAAAAAAAAAAAAACATATTTTACAGCAAAAAGCACAAAAAACAAATTTTTTAATATTTTATGTTAATTGGTCCCTCCAAATACAGAAAACAGGATTATTAATGCTGTTGTGAATGTGTTTTATCATGCCTATGCTTGGTCTCGACACAATTTACCTCTGAGTACTCGGCCAATAATGCCTATTTTGTAAGACTTTTTTGTTTGCCTTTTAATTCCATTACCTGTTGTTGAATTGCAACTGTATTGTTCTCACAATTTTATTAATCAGCCTAATATGGAAAAATAAGTCAATAGCAAAAATATAACAAAGAAAATTCTTGGTATTTTCAGTAAACATAAATTAAACTGTGTTTTTGTAATAAATTTCCAAGTTTTATTATAAATTGTAATCTTCTGTTAGCATTATTTAAAATCAAAATCTCATAAAACCGAAAGACATCTAGTTTACAACGTAATATTGAATTAAACCTTGATTTAGTTTGATAAGGTTATTATAATATAGCCTTTTTAGAAAAAAACCCTGTTTGTCAGTAACCTTTATGATCTCTGTTATGGTTCAGCTGAAAAATAACAAAACAGTCCGTGACTAACTAGTGCTGCTACCTAAAAGATTTGCACACATTGAACAACTAGGTTGTAGCTCCATCTGTTAGCAATTGTTGGCATCATCTTGAATACCAGTTTTTACTCTATATTCTCCAAGCACAGATAGATTGGATGTGTCGCTTGGCCAGTGGCATTCATTTGTTCGGGTTCGATTCCCGTCCTGTGTGGCAAATAATTGGTGACCTGTGAGTTTGTAGCGATATACTACAACTACCGGGGCATAGAGAGGTGTTCATAATCCTTGGTTTGGACATACACCTCGAATTATCGGATTGGGCAAATCTTTTAGCTAAGTGGTTGTTAGTGTATAAACATGCAGGACACCAATGGCAGTTTTGTTACTTTTTGTTAAAAAATTACCTTCCTCTCTATATCCCTTAGAGAAGTTAGTAAAACAACGATACATTGTTACATAGCACACAAAGGGTTAAAGTGTCAAGTAAAGAAATACCTGTTGAAAAGCGACTTGTGTGCCCATCTCAAGCCACATCGCTGTGTCTCCGAAAATCAGTCTTGCTCGACCTGACTTAAGTATCTGGAGTTTCCCAATCTGACCACCAGGCAGTGTCGACAGCAAACATCGATTGTTCTCTGGCTGCACAATAAAACAATAGGTTTCAAACCGAACATGTGATCAAGCAACTTAATGACGAACAACAAATACTTATCTACGAGGGCTATCCTGGATATGGGCCAAAATAGCGGGAAAAATATTTCAATCCAATATACTGACTGCGACTACTGCAAGCCAAATAGAACCAGCCACAGGTAGGTATGTGGAATTATAATATTGAAGTTTATCAATAAAAGGAAACAGGTGCTCACACACAAACACACATGTAAGTTAATCTGGTTTCATTATCCATTGTGCAATCTCAATGTCTTATTAGTCCTACTGTTCAATTTGAGTACGGTAAAACTAAAGATTAATTATTGTAGGCTGTACCGTACCAAACCAAATTTAAACTAGACCTACTCTTTGGACGAAATACTTAGGAACAAGTAATAGTTTGAAAATAGATCGTTTTGATTAGTTAGATAGTTAAATTTGATTAAATAACAGGAGACAAATATTTGAATTTGTCACAGTAAACCCAAGGTGGTTTAGCTGATCCATAAATGCATAAGGTACCGGTAGTGTATAACTCTTCTATTCTTTGCCATGATCTAACTGTGACTGACTACTACTAGCAATCTAACTTGTATTTAATTTTACACTTAGGCCCACCTTAATTTCTGTAGGTTGGTCGGCCTGCACAGTGGATTGTGCATTAGGTTTTTGTCCATCCACTGTTGTTTCTGGATTCAGACCTGGCATAGTATTGGGTAGCTGAAATACAAAATGACTGGAATCAATAAAACGATAATGTAATGTTTTGAGAGTTCAAATAAACAAAAACCATTGTACGAAACAAACTAATTGCTCTATTTTCATAAGGCATAAAAAGTAGCAAATGCCTAGCCTTTTATAATCCTACAACTGAGCAAAAAATATAAGTAGACCATGGCTATTTTGTAAACCAAATCTATTAGTAACACTAAACGTAAGGATCACTTGCCAGTAATATAAACCAAGAATATATTCATCAGATTAATTACTGAATAGTAACTGAGAAGTCTTAAATAACCTCACTAATAAAATAATTAATAATATTAAAAACTTCCTCTTATGTACCTGTAGAAAGATAAAACCAGGATCAGGTTTTGTAGTGTCGCAGAAAACATCGTTAATTGAAATATCTTCTTTTTTGATGACAGGTTTCACATCAGATCTTTTCTTTAGGCCGGGATCATCCAAAACTAGAAATAAAACTACATACAGGCTATCTCAGTCATTCTACAACTTAGGCAAAATTTTAAAAAAATCAGTAACGGAGGGTGAGGATGACCCCCCTTTCCATTATACTTAAATAATAAATCATTTGAGGCCCGGTTTGAACCGTGGAACAGCTTTTTTATCCTGGATTTTATCGTCTTTTTCTGAGCACTCCAAGGAAAAAATTTGAGTGTGGCTGAATCTAGGGGTAGGCCTAGCCTGTTTTGTGAATACTGATTTATTCCACCCTTTGGAATTTACATCACAATTTGTTTGATCACTGTTAACTTTTAACTAATATTGTAACTAACTGTATTTAAAAAACTGAAAAATCTTACTGTTTAGCAGCGGTAACGTGATGGGACAGTTGTCAAAGTCCGGTTCCAGATTGGGATCATCAACAAAGTCATCTTTAAGCAATTGTTTCATTGTATCTTCTTCTTCTTTCTTGTCTACTTTTAGATTCTCCTGTGGTAAAACAATTATGTTAAAACTATGATTGCATAGCCTATAGATTTTATGAGCAGACTTACGACTTGCTAAATAATATGATCACATGATTTTTAATGCCATAAAATGATGTTCATCTTTGTTGACCAACAGAGTTGGTAGCCTAAGAGAATATTCAAAGAATTGGTATAAACTGGTTCCATCTTGTTAGAATTAGAAAGAAAATAATAATGAAAGTATCAGACAAGGAAGAAAATGCTCAATTCTGTTGCCAAATAAATATTGTGTAAATATTGTGTTCTCAGGTTTTAAGCATAGTTAATAATAATAGAATTTTGTTCCAGTAGTACAATCATGTTCAATAAACGTAAAAAATTCATTTGACACGTAAACATAAAAACCCTTAAAAATTGATAATGGTATTGCTTTCTTATTGTATTTATAATTTGTATTTTAATTACTATACTTTGTAAAGCGCCTCTAGCAAGCCAATGATACAGTTCAAGCTATGTAATCATTTAGTACAAAGTCCTTGTCATCATTTGTCTTACACTACAAAGGCTGGGAAATCTACCAGGAGGAGACTTTAAGGGTAATCAATATTTTTTTTTTTAAGAGGTTGGTGGCCTCTTTTAACCTTGAATTTGCCCGTACACATAGACTAACCGCCCGTGCGTGGATTGTATACAGCAACGCAAGGAGTGAGCCGGTACAGTACAAAGGAGATCTGTACTGATAAAATGTTTTCGGCAGTGACCAGGATCGGAACCAATAACAACGCTGCCTTCCCGAAGGCCACGACACTACCGACTGAGCCACCGACTCACTAACGACTCAATAATAATCATTGACATGTAATTTTAAATCGGGAACATGTCGGATTTTCTGTTATAATCGTTCTGTTGTTTCCCTTTTAACCTTCAGCATTTACATTTATTCACCTCATATGTTAAAGTGCAAAAAAACCATGCTAGATCTTAAACAGCTAAATATTGGTTACCTTTAACTTGAGTGTAGGCCTCTTAAGTACGGAGTTGGATGCCTCCCCCCCTCCACCCGGCCGACCTCTTCCCCCTCCAGGCTTAGCTCCAGGCACACCCTCGGAAAACACACACTGGTTCAGCTGAAAACATAAAAGAATCACAGTTGTACTCAATTGACAACGCAAGAGAAGCTTACAATTAATTTGATATCCAATACAAGGGAGCTTGACTTATTGACTTTTTTTAACAATTAAAAGCATACCAAGTAGCTTCATTTATAAGCCTAATCTTCATAGGTCTGAAAATATAAATAAAATTAGGCTCCTACAATCTTGAATCCCACCATAAATGCATAAACAGGATGAAGAATATGAATGAGCTACCTGAATAAGTGTTCTTTTGCCTCTTCCTCTGCTTCTTTCAGTTTTTTGGGTCAAATTTGGTTTCACTTGTTCTTTTTTTGTGGTGACAGTTCTGAGGACAGTAAAAAAATAATGAACACACACAAAACTACTAAAACCGACACACATTAAAGTTCCTGCTGTTATGAATGAGACTGGAATGAAAAGAATGTTAGGTGTAACCTTTACCAATTGATATGACTATTGACTAGACATTCTATTACCATGTTAAAGTTGTTGTCAGTTTTTTAATCAAAATCATCATGTCCTTTGTTACAAAAAAATTGGCGGCAACTGGTCCAAATATGGGATGTCAGAATCCAATAATAAATAGTGTAACTTAAGCAATAAAACTATTGACGATATATTTATATTATATAAACAAAATGTTTGTATATGAATAGAAATGCTTAAGCGAGACTGAAAGTTCTTGTAATGTTTTGTTAACATTATTATTACTTAAAAATAATTTTCTATTGCTGCTGAGCTGCCATGAGAGCTAAGGTAACAGCTTATTCCCTGTATGGAAAATTCACTCACATGAAGAAAGTTTTAAAACATTTAAGAAGCTATAATATGCTGTATTGTATTGTATGTAGACCATTTCGAGGTGAGTAAAATTTAATCAAAACACAATATACAACTAATACTTACTCGGCAGGCTTGTTACGCTGCACATTCAAGTTTGGTACGTAGACTTTTTTGTTTTTTGATTGGTTCAAATTTGGTATTTTCTGACTGTAGGCTGATAGCGACAGATCTCTCGGAGGCCGAAGAGAAGGCAGTCTTTGCATGACGGGACCAGACGATGTCCCTGGTTCAGTTTTAATACCAGGTTCTGTTTTGATTGTCACCCCACCAAGAGGCTGATTGTTGTCCTGATGTTTCATCATTTTCTACTCAATGACAAATTGCTGAAACAGTTTTGTTATTTTTTGTTTAGTAATTCTATGATGAAAATTTGATAGCTGATGCCCAACACAATAACATTGAACTAAAAGTATTAATATTTTCAATCGTACAGATCTATGACTATTCTACATTTAATTAAATTGTATAATGTTTCAATTCATTGAGTAGGGCCTAAGTTATCCAATACCAATCCAATAATAAGTTAAGCCTAGGCATAAGTAAGTAGGCCTATGTGTTAATATTTTAGGTTAAACAAAAACACAAAATGTAGGTAGGCCTATGTTCTATGAAATATGGAGCGGCTGGAGCCACTTTTTTGCTTTCTCCCCTTACACCATAAGCTATATGGAGAAAGTAACTTATTGTTCTTTTAACATTTTTGAGTTTTGAGTTTTAGATGAGTAGCCTAAGTTAACTTAAACTTAGGCTATATATAGGTACATTTGGGTCCCCCTAAATTCCAAAATAGCTTATTCCCTATATGGGAAATTCGCTAAACGTGGTTTTCAAACTAATGTGTGCTCTTGTAATGTGTTGACTGGGGGGAGATCCGAAACTTACACGCACAGGGCGAGGAGATCCGTATTGCGTGATGAAATCCGATCCCTGGATCTCTGGGCGCAATTAGCCTACCATTTGGTTAAAATGATTAAAACCAGGTCTAGGCCTACTAAAGGTTGCACTTTAGTTTACATCCTACATTTACTGTTATACATTATACATTAACTACCGGCTGATTATAAAATGAAACTGTTCTAAGCTAAACCATTACTAAACCTAACCTTAACCAAACTGCAGTAGGCTATATGAGTAAATGTAGGACGTAAACTAAAGCACAGCCCTACTAAATAATATTTCGATCAGGCCTAGTACGCCAATAGCTTACAATAAAGTTTTGTTTCTAAATGTTTAGATATATATCGAGACGTACTTTTTCCATTACATAGGCCTACATCTACATTATTTACTTACGTTACAAACTGGTACCCTGAGATTATCGGAGTCAATACTTTTTACAAGTTAACTAGTTATACACAACGAACTTGAACTTGCTGCACTCCACTCACTAAACAAACACTGGAAGAAAGAAAACTTGTATTATTAATGAAAGTGAGTGAGTAAATGCGTGATGCTTCTTTTGTTATTTCAAAGCGATTTGAGGTTAAGTCTAATAGTTCAAGTTCACTTATTCATGGTTTAGTGGTTCTAGCAAGAAGGGTTGTCTCAGCTCTGCACCATGCAGCTTTGCAAAGCATTTTGGATTTTTGTACGGCAAAAGAATAGTCCGTTTTGATATAAAACCATAGATAAAACTTCCACCATGAGATAAAACCATAGACTAACCAACACAAGTATCTATGATAAAACATACTCCTCAAGATAAAACTTATGTTAAAATGGGCGAAAAATAGAAAAACCCAAATCGAAACAGATTTTCAAATAGGTATTTAGAGTAATTTGTTTCACTAATTGCTTTAAAAATATAATCTATGCTTCAAGGGCACTACTGAGTGTAGTTCTAGTTAATTGGAGTGACTGAGTGGAGTGGAGTGAGTCAATATGAGTCATTTGCTGTTGCTGTCACTGCAGACTGCCAATTGAAATATTGCCATTGTCAACCTTGTGCAATTAATAGATTGTTTTCTGTAATATTCATCTCACTTATTATTTTAGTACTTTATGCCTTCAAACTTTCACCAAGTGTTCACAATAAGTTGTTTCTAGACTTGGCATAAGTAGTGTTTGTGTGCTTGTTTAAAATATATTTTGTGCTGCATTTTTGTTAAATTCAAGATGTCAGCAGCCATGGAAAGTATCCTTTTATCATGTCCTAAGATTATTGTTATTTAATTAACTGAACACTCCATGACATACAAGTTACACATAACTAAGTTACAGAGTAGCCTTAATTCTTATTGGTTGCCATTTAAATGAAAAACGTTAAAGTATTAAATTAGGCCTAGGCCTATAGGAGGTAGTTAACTCAAAAACTCATTAAAGCTCATAATGTGGATTTATAAAGTGCCCTCTGGCACTAGAAATTAGAAATAGGGAACTCTTTGGTTGATGCACCATACCACATCATTCATCCTCCTCAGCCCACTAGCTTGTCAACCTGCTCGGCTTGGAAACTGTTTTGCTCTGGAATTTGATCGGCTGCACTTTACTTTACGTCCTACACTCATTCGAATGAAAATATCGATTATTCGATTGTTTCAGTCGATATTGTTGGAGTTACAACATCATCCAATTTACTTATTACCTGTTTTATAAAATCATATGTTATATATCTAGTTTTGTTATGATTATAAGTAAATAAAAGTTATTATTGTGTGAGTGTTATTAAAGAATAGTTGATTCAATTTTAACAGATATATCGTTTGGTTAGTTAGGTTAGGTAACCTTACCTAACTAACCAAACGATATAACTTATCGATTAATATATATATCGATCAATATTTTCATTCGCATGAGTGTAGGACATAAATTAAAGTGCAGCCATTTTATCTGTTCTACAACACAATCCCTCACATCAGAAGATGTGCTACGAACCTCTTTACGCCTTGAACCTGCATGAGCATGAACTACCACTGGGTACAGTTCCTTAAATGGGCTATGCTAATATTGATCGAAACTGGGCTATGCCAATATCGAAACCATAGATTCGATTAGTAACCTTCATGCGATTTTTTCACTATCAGCAAGTTTGTTTAGTTAGGTTAGGTTATGACAGTTTCATTTTACAACAGATATTTTTAAAAGAAACAATTATAAATCAATATTTTCAATTCAATAGTTTCAATCTATATTAGCATAGCGCAGTTAAGAAACTGTACCCCTACCACCTGACTGTTGCTGATCACCTAGGCCTACTCACTATTTAGGATGTCGTGGGTGTACAGTGGAACCCTCAGATTCGACTAGGAGGGGACTGGATATGGGGAGGAGCATAGCCTGCGGTCCCCGAGACTTAAGTAAAAGTCTTCTGCGACCGTGGGAACAACTGAAAACCGCACAAACATGTCTATTTTGCTTTACAAAAAGTGTACAGGCCTTCATAATTTTCTAAATTGTTGAGTCCGTTCCCTGATTATATTAAGTCAGATGCGTTTTTGTGTTGAATCATTTAAATCATTTTATTTGGCCATTAAATACAAACTGCACAATAGGCTAAGTCATATCAAGCATTACAATTCAACATGCACAAATCAAACATCAAATAGCCTAATAAAAAGCGACATGCAAGCAAACAAAATAAAATCAAGAGTTCAAAGCAAACATCATCTGCAAAGCAGCAAACCGTGCATCTTACCAAGCTATACATTACTTGTGTTAAATCTTTCTTTAATCATGCTAGAGAGATCTGCTTCATAAAACTCATCCAAGCTATACAGAGGGTTTGACAAAAGCCATGATTTTATTGTTTTTACAAACTTAGTTTTACACAGGTTTTTTACAGGTGTTTTGGGAGGCGATTGAAAAATTTCATACCTGAAACAGGATAACAATTCAAGACCAAACTTAACCTAGATCTGTTCATGTGAAAGTTATTTCTATTCCTTGTATTATACATATATGTATGTCGCTGTTTGTCAGAAATACACTCTCATTATCTTTGATTGCTACTAGGCTCTGTAAAATGTAATTATTAACAATAGTCATTGCACCACACAGTTTGAACAATGGTTTGCAATGGGCTCGGTATTGGGCATTACATACAATTCTTAACTTACAGCTATTTTTTGCAACAGAAGAACGCTGTGGGTGTTGGGTAAGTTAGCCTATTAACAATTGTTTGTTCGTGTCTCTTCAGCTACATTTTTTGTAACCAACTTACCTAGGCCTAGTTTATGTGGGATGTGATAAGTCACTCATTAGATTATTATGTGCGTTTTGGCCTATTCTACCTTGCGATCACATTATTTTCCAATCACAAGTAAGTGGATTTTGTTTGCAATATTTTGTTATAAATTTTGTTTGTCAGCTCATTTTAAACATAAAACACATATATGTATAATTGAGTGAATAGATCGCACCAAACTTATCATAGATGTAAACATTGCAATTAATATAAACTTAAATTTTTCAATGTGTTGTCATGTTGTGGATGCACGATGAAAACTGCAAGAGCAATTTACATTTTCTATCATGATCGGGTTTGAAAACTAGCAAGTGTAGGCTACGGTACCTACTTAAACAAGTTTTGACTATTGAATCCTTAACACTAGCACATATCACTTGTTTAATCTCAAGTTTGCAGTCAAAGAGCTTGAGCGCAATTCTAAACGGTGTGAGAAAGAAGAGAAGGCTGAAAAAGCCAAGACAAAAAAAGCTATACAGAAGGGTAACATGGAGGTAGCCCGAATCCATGCTGAAAACGCCATCAGGCAGAAGAACCAGTCCGTTAACTATCTGCGAATGAGCGCAAGAGTAGACGCTGTGGCCAGCAGAGTACAAACTGCACTTACAACTAGAAAGGTATGTTTCTGTGACTTAACCCTTCCCGAGCGTTGGCGTAAATATACAAGAACAACACTATTCAGTTGCGAGCGTTGGCTGTAGGTCTATTTTAACCAGCTTCTATTCTTAGAGGGTTTGTATTCATTGTTGATACCTTTTGTAATTTAAACTAGACAAAATAAAATATATATCTATTATTTATGGCTTTTCCAGTAGTATATACATTTTAAACTAATTCTCTAAACATAGGCTATACAGTAACAAAATATGAAATATAAACTTTTATGCATTCTTGCATTGCTCAACAAAATAGAGAACGGAAGATCCACAATTTGTTGTCTGAATCAATTGTAGGTGACACAATCAATGGCTGGAGTGGTGAAGGCCATGGATGCTGCTATGAAGTCGATGAATCTTGAGAAAATATCTGGACTGATGGACAAGTTTGAGAATCAGTTTGAGGACTTGGACGTCCAAAGTTCTTACATGGAGAACACCATGAGCCAAACAGTTACCACCTCCGTGCCTCAGAACGACGTCGACTCTCTCATGCAAGAGGTGGCTGATGAAGCTGGGTATGTGTGGGATGACTATTACACATTTACTTTTAGATACAAGATTAGACATACCATATGTGTGAATCGGATGTCACAAAAAAAATATTAATAAAGTTTAATGAGCGATTTATAGTGTGCGACATAATAAAATTTAATTTTTTCCTTTGACTTCAGTTACTGAGATAATTGTTGTGATATAAAAGTCGCTATTGCTTACTGTAAGTCATCGTATCAGTTTTACTTGTTTAAAAGTTAGCTTCTCTTACAGAACAAGTAACTTAATTTACTACAGCTCACTCTGTCGTCTCAAGTCAAGTAATAGTGACCAACTTACTTATACAAAGCTAAAGCGAAACAAACTTATTATTATAGAAGATGAGTATGTGTGTTTTTTAGATTAATTTCAATCTAAAACTGCTGATAAGTTAACACGTGGTTGTACTGTCTAGTTTGATCAGAAGTCAAAGATTTGCCGCCTAGTTGAATTTGCATACAGGTAGATATTGAGGCAATTTAAAGGTATTATTTGGTTTTTTCCATGGACTTTCACAACAATTTTGCTTGCAGTTCTATTATATCTACTAAGGCTTATACCTTTAATTTTTAGTGAGTCATTGATGATATTTGTCCTTATGAGTTATCTCTCGACGTTTATCAGTCAAAATAAGTGATACTACAGACAGAATAAACATCAGAATAGCCATAGACCAGGAATTATGAATAAATTTTGAAATTTTGTTGGGAAACCCTGATTTTACTGCAATTTTGTTGAAACGTGAATCTAAAACAAATTTTAAAGAGTGAAACACCCAGCAACATAACTCTGTTTGCTTGTGTAAACGCTCATGAAAATCTGTTAGTGCATGAAAAATACAACTGTTAAAACATTTTCTTGGCGGTATGTAATTAGGTTTATACTACGGGCTACAAAATGGAATTAATTTTCTTGGCCAAGGCAAAATTATGAACTAATTTAAGCATTCACAGAGAAATCGTGAATGTCTTCTGTGGTCACAGTAAAATCAATGTCATCTTCCACGTTCACAGCGAAATCGTGAACATAAAACAAGGTTACCATAAAATCATGAAAATCCTCTGTGATCACGTCTTCAACATCATGAACATCTTCTGCAGTCATGACGAGATTATCGTCTTTCTTGGTTGTTTTTGTTAGTCTGGTTATTTTGTGGCTATGAGAGTTCAGTGCAAATTATTGAATTACTTTAAATTTTAAATCATGAAGTTATGTACCAGTACTGTATATAAATAGGCATATTTAAATTATTTAGCCTAAGTTTTTGCTTTATGACTAATTACTGATTTAAATAGGTGCAATTCAGGTAAACATACAGATCAATAAATCTATGTCTAAAATGCAAAATCCGTTTCAGTCTGGATTTGAACCTAGAACTGCCTCAGGCTGGAAGTGTTGGGACGTCAACCCAAGTGTCACAGGAACAAGACGAACTTACACAACGTCTTGCAAGACTACGACAGGCAGAATAGTCTCGAGACTAACCGAGAATGTCAATATGAATAATCTAATCCACTGCTCTTAGAACAAGTATGTCTTGAGGTTATTGTGTTGTTATTTGCTCCATAAAATCAAAGTTAAATTTTCCTAATTGGGGTAAGGTTCCATCACCACTTTTTTAGTTTTATGTACCAGCTGTGAGTTGTTGGCTGTCGTTTCAAATTTATGGTGAGGTGGAGGGGATGGGATCGCTTCCCCTCGATTTTATTTAGTTTTTTTTTTTAACAGAGTATTGTAAAGGTGATCTACACAAAATTGGAGAATAAATTTATTTTTTTATTTAAAGCCTATGTATTATGTCAAAAAATCAAGTTTTAATTTGTTGTATTCTAATTTATAATTTGAAAGCATGTATTAGAACTGATTTTTGAACATTGAAAGTTTTTTATCTTGTGAAAATCGATTACCTTTCTAGTAATGAATGGACCTATTAATGTGATAAATATTTTTGTTCTTTTTCCATATACTTCCAACGTTAAGTTAATGTTACAACGCTTTAGTTGTTACCTTTATTACACTTTTCCTGAAAATTATGCCTTAAACATTGGTTAGTTACAATGCTAAGTCATCTAAAGCCACTCTGTCTGTTTAATCTATTATTGTACAAAATGTGAATGCTAAACCTGTAAATTATACATTTTTATATTAAGTTGAGAAGTTTTTATTAACTTTTTGAGTTTTTCCTTGACTAAGCCAGTAAGACGTGGGAGTTTAATTATGGTGTTATTTAATGTTTGTGTTCTTAGAAGATGGAGGCTCAGGTTAACCGAGGCAACAATATGATTGGAAAACGAGAGATGGTCAACATAGATACATTGTATATCTTTATAAATTACCTCTCAAAATGGTTTCCTTCTTGTTTTGCGATTACATACAAACAGCTTTGTTATTTTAGATGTTGCCTAGTAGTCGTGGCTGTTTTATGAACTAACAAGGAAAATGTAAATGCAAGGGTGGAGCAATCATACACACATAAGAAAAAATTTATCAACTATATTGCTCACAAAATATTTACAGTGTCTTTCATGTTAAATAAGTCCTAACACAGTACTTATTTAAATACAATTATTTTTCTCGAGGTAACAGCAACATGGCACAGTCTATTACCAAAATATTAAACATCTTTCTTATCAAAATATACGGTGATGTTTTACTCTATCCAAGTACTTCAGTTGCAACAACACAACTCCTAAGTGTTTATAATTCACTTAATCAACTCATAAAATGTGATGAGTACAACACACAAACTTAAAAAGAAATCATCTTAACCAACACCCTGAATTATAAAATAAAACTTACTCAAATAAACTAAAATTTTATTTTAAAAGATCAGTCTTGAACTGCACGTCGGAATGTGAATGAAGAAAATGTGACAAAGTCATAATAGCAAAACAATGACAAAACATTATCTGTAACCTTTCACACACAGCACCCGTCGACAGTTTGTTTCTCCTTGAAACGAAACCACATGAATATTTTACAGTAAAAATGTCAGTCTTGTCATGAAACTGCTATGAAAGAGAATCATGATCTCAAATAAACAAGAAATGAAAACAGTTACACCATGGATATTGTGACGTTGATTCCAAGGTTCCCGGTGTCAGCAAACAGCTGAGCAATGCAAGTATCGAACACGAGGCAGTCTGAGTTATTGATGGACGAGGCGATGCCTTCGTGGATGCTGCGTGGAGTTGCCTCCCAAGTCAGTCTGCGGCGGTGGCCGTTTAGCTCCAGTCTGCAGGACAAAACAGTAAAAGATGAATTGCTGTGTGAATTTAAATCACAGTCCGGCATAAATAGTATATTACGTTACTAGTTCTGAAAATAAGTGTTTACCGAGTGTGGTCCTTCCCATGCGAGACGAAGTCGAGTACGGGATTACCATACGAGTTCGGTACACACATTTTGGACAAGTTACGTACGATAGTTTACGCCATACTACTAAATCTGTACAAACCCTTATATATTTCTACCAACTAAAGAACTAAAAATCACTAGTCATAACCTCTAGGAGAGGTTATGTTTTGTTTATAACCATTCATTGCCACCTAAATACAGTATAATCAGCTGATTGGTGTCCGGTAAAACTCACTACAGTACAGTAATGACGTACAGTACAGTACGCAATGAGACCCCATTTGAATATGCTGGCGGTTCGTCAAAATAACGTAGTGTGGTAAAAAAAAATTAGGACCAGATTATCATATTGGTTGGGAATAGCATTACAAAATTGAAGCAATACATTTCTATGACAGTTGATTGTAATGATCGATCACGGCAAAAATAACTATACAAAGGATGTAGGCCTATTTAATGTATACATTTTTACTTGTGAAATTTGTTTTAGATGTTGATAGTTCTGAGACAAACTGAGAAGTTAAATTAATGTTATATTTATAAACATTGTTTTAATATATTGATTTATTAAAAACAAAAACCATGAAAAGTGATCACTCCGCTCAACTGGCTTTCACTGCTATGAAATCAACCCTAGTGCATGTTAGGCTAGGATTATACTAGGACGCTGGCGTCCGAGAGGCCAGCGTCCGGGACGCTAGCGGGGCATTAAATCAAATGGGGGCGATTATACTATGGGTGCTAGCGTCGGATGCTAAAAAAAGCCACCGGACGCTCGAAGCTATTACCGTAGGTGGCATGGTAAGACCTAGGCCTGGGACCGATTTACTTTGTCATCTTGATGTCCCCAGAGGCCAAAAACACCATCCGTTCGTATAGATTTAAATATTATATATATATGTCTGTAAACGCGATAACTGGAGTAACTTAAGTCCTATTTTTGAAGAAATTTTGTTTTAAGGTGAAGGGTGGGATAAACTTGAATGAGTTCGCGAACCAGCATGAACAGACCTTGGGAACGGGGTTGTATGTGCTAAAAAAGGGGGTTTGTAATTTTTGACCCGTAAAACTGAAAGATGCCCAATTTCTCTCTAGACAATTTTTAGCTTAAAAACAAATAATTTAGTATATTTAAGTGTTTTTGTACTGTTATTAGTTATGGAGAAAATTAAAAAAAGAGTATATTAAAAATTGCCATGTTATTTTTATAGAAAATGTTGTTATGGGTTGGAATTTGCTTGTTTATGGATATATTTTGATTAAACTTGGACGATTTGTTTTATACTAAGCTAATAATACAGTATTTTACTAAAAAACACACTTTATTAGCCCCCTTAAAGCATCAAACCTTGGTACACGTTAAACCTTAATGTTATTTAAATAGATATAAACAAAAAGTGACTAAACATTGAAATAAAATGGCAGTCCGAGAGGCTAGCATCCCATCACAAATCACGTCATTTTTCGGCTCGAGGTGGGACGCTAGCCTCTCGGACGCCAGCATCCCGGACGCCAGCGTCCTAGTATAATCCTAGCCTTACACCTGATTACAGTTTTGGCAACCTCAGCTGATTAGCTACATTGTGCTTATTGTACTTTTGTTTTATTTTATCTAAGGTAGGATACAATAGGCGGGGATACTTTAATAGTATTGTGCTTACATTTCTGTGCAAGTTATTTTAATTTGATAATGACTTATGTTCAGTGTTGGGGAAGCTACTTTTAAAATGTAGCTAGCTACAACTACTGCTACATTTCCAAAAAAGTAGCTTAGCTACAGCTACAGCTACAGTTCCGAAAAAGTAGCTAGCTACAACTACAGCTACAATGAAATGTAGCTACAGCTACAATTTTAGCTACTTTTCCAAAGACGTTACTTTTTATCCCACGCATATTAGGTAAATGTAAAATTAATTGCAACTACATTTTTATTGAACAAACATATAAACAAAAAATGTCAGTATTGTAGCATTGACTATATGCTATTGACTATTGACTATATTGACAGGTATAGTCAATGATTGTATCTAACATTACTTGGAAAACAAATTATTCCTAGATTGTATTTAATTTATTGGCATTATAAACCTAACATTACAACAACAGAACCAAATAGTTGGGTGTCCCATCATATTTAGTACTTATTTTTAAATGTTGCTTTATTTTTAAGCTTTGTATATGTAAATTTCATTAAGTTCAAAGGACATACAACCAAACTTTATTTTAAAAGCTCATTTTATTTATTTAATATAGATTCATTTATAGATGTCTTATATCAACAATTATGACCAATAAAACTGTAAAACGATTATTTAAAAATACCTTTTTGTGTTACAGAGCCTAGCCTACTGAAATTTGAGTTTATTGCCTTTCTTTACTTTTAATGTTAAAAACGACATTGCTATAACTTTTAACCATAGTGATAAGTTACTTGTTCTATGAATAACACTTTTCAATGTCAAGAAATCGTCCTTTATTGTCATTATGCATAGGGAAAATTGTGCTTCAACCTAGTTGGTACAGAAAACAGTATTCAGCAACTTATCCTGAAATCGGCTTTTAATTTAAACATGTTGAAATTTGTAAAGTAAAAATAACATGTAGGCCTACTTGGCTATGTAACAAGTTGGCTATGGTAGGCTTGTTCTTGCAAGGACTAAACAGATATATTCCTAATAATTGAACTTGGACTTGGAACTTTTGGTATTTGTCTTAAACCATAGCATAGCCTAGGAATAGTCCTATACAAGAGCTGTTAGCAGGAGCAAACTATGCTATTTGTTCAATGTAAGTTTCATGTTATATGGAGATTTTTTTGTTACAATTATCAATTAGTCTAGGCATATCTTAAATCACATCAGGAAACTTCCTCTTTGTTAATTTAGTAAACCTTTGAAAAATCTTTGTAATCTAACCAAGGAAGGGCTTGTGGTGATGAACCACAATCAACAGCTGAAGCAAAGGTTGATAGACCAGCTTTCTCATTATTTTAAGGTTTAGTGTTGGTTTCCATTAAAACCCAAGTTGAAACACTATCGATATAATAAAGAAACTAAATTGATTATTAATTTCCCTGACAATCACTTGCAAGCATTCAATAGCTTCTCTTGTCACCGGTAACGTTTAAAAGTCGTCTGCATCTAGCGATTTTATTTTATCTGACAGTAATCATAGAGTAGTAAATTAAGGAAATGAGAGGCAAAAATGTGGATAACACTCATTTAATGGCCTCCATTTTCACACAACGTTGTTTGTATAGGGAATGAAACGGGAAACGGCTGCAACCAGCTGTATGAAGCCAGCCTAATTTTTTTGAAAATCTCAGTTTGAAAGGTTTCACGTAAGGTTGAGGTTATGATAAAAATCACTACCTCAAACAATGTTAATGTAGCGAGAAAAGTAACTAAAATTCCGCTACAACTACTTTAAAAATGTAGCTAGCTACAGCTAAAGCTACAAAATCTTAAAAGTAGCGTAGCTACAGCTAACGCTACAAAAAAAGTAGCGCGCTACTGTAGCGTCGCTACTTGTAGCGCGCTACTTCCCAACACTGCTTATGTTAATGAAATACCCGAGGTGTGAAATAACTAAAAATAGGATGTTAATTACAATTATCTGGTGTGTGGCAAAATTCATTAATATCTATAGTAAGTGATGACATCCCTATTGATTAAGCGGGCAACAAACTCCAGAATATCTCCACATGTGAATAAGTCCTTAAAAAAATTGTAGCAAAAATAACATATAAACAATTTTTATCAGTGCACCTAGTGAGAGAAACTGAGTTTTTAT